GGGTGGGTGTTCTGCATAGAAGCATCAACAAGCCTGCTAACCGGCTGCTTCCCAGCCCCTGCAGCTGATGCCTGTCTCTAGCATCTCTGTCTCTCCTATGCCCAGGGCAGGGCTGGCCCGTGGCATCCTCCCCACTTGTTTACTGGACAAATGCTCATGCTCATGGCCCCAGGGAACCAGCACAAAGGGTGTCACCCCTCCCAGATGCCCTCTGGGGTTAGGTAGGCACCTTTCTAAGGCAAACTCTGCAGTGGCAGGGTGAGAAATGTCAGGGGCGGCCGCCCTGCCCTTTGACATCAAGATGGCAGTACTGTTCCCAGAGAGTGCCCAGTCCATCAGGCACCTGTATCCAGACTGGGTGAGGCGAATAGGCATTGGTAGTTGGGCATTTCAGTTCCAGCCTCCACAGATGTGCACCTAATTGAGCCGCTGGCGCCGAGGGAAAGGCGGGAGATTTTGGTTGACAGGCCGTTAAAGGAAGACAAATAAGGAGGGGAGGTAATTAAGAGTAAACGGGTAGTAAGAGTTTACACATTGCAACCTCCAAGGCTCACAGCATCCTCAGTCTCCTGGCGGCTGGCTCCAGCCACAGGTTTAGATCACGGGAGGATAAATCAAGGAACTGGGGACTTCCATGGAGGGCACATGGATGGGCTTGGCGGCAAAGGCCTGGGCTGCTCACCTGGCCAGAGGTGCCTGTGCTGGAAGAGGTAGGGCAGCAGGGGCAGGTAAAGCTGCAGCCCACAGAGAGGGGTCTGGCCCTGGCAGGTGCCAGCTCTGCATGCAGGCTGCGGGGAGGTCAGCTCAGCAGACCAGAAGAGACTGAGAGACCTTTACGGAAAACCTACTATGTGTCAAGCAAGTCCTGGGCTTGATTATGCCACATGTGGGAGGAGCAAGCCCACCAGGAACATCTGCCCAGGACACCTGGGACGGCAAGAGCCCCACTCCAGCCTGCCCACCGCCAATGACCTTTCCTTCAACCTTTGCTGCTCCACCGGCCAGCGGGCTAGACACTTGTTTTCTTTGGGCTTTACTGCTATAGGTCCTTTCACCTGGAACACCCTCCCTCATCTCCACCACTTGAACCCAGGATATTTATGGACCCATAAATCCCACTTATGCCAGGAGTCCTTCCTGGACCCCCCTCAACTAGGACAGGCCTCTTCATTCCCTACTCTCTGGCCTCCTCCCCGCCCACCCATATGCTGCAGCCTCTGCCTTGGTTCAGGAAAGCACCTGCACTCTGGCCTCTTGTCAAGCTAGGACCTGAGTCTTCTTGTCCCTGTCACCCCTACGGGGCCCCACACAGAGCCTGGCCATTGGAAGGGCACATGAAGTGTTGACATAAGGACTTTTGGGTGGCATCTCCAGGAGCCCGAAGGTATGCCCAGGAAGCGTTGTCTGGTCTAGAGAAGTAAAAGCTTTGGCATTAGATATTACAGGTTGTGTAGGTAAGACACTTTGCCTCTCTGAGCCTGTTTCTTCATGCATATAATGGGAGACATGGTATGCACCTGGCAAGGGTGGTCTAAAGACCCAAAGCATATAATACCCTGAAGGCAGGACCTGGCACTCAGCAAGGGCTTAATAAAGGGAAACCACAGAGACTCAGGTATCCCCAGGAAGGGCAGGTAGGTCCTACATGCTGGCAGGCAGGAAAGGCTTCCTGGAAAAGGAGAGATTCCAGCTTGGCCTCAAAAGATGAGCAAGATGGGGTGGGCATATTAGACAGGGAAGGAAGGGAGTTTCCCCAGGGCCAAGCATAAACTGAGCCAGGACCTGCCCTCCTGAGTTTCATTGATCCAGCCCTGCCTCCGTTTGGGTCAGTAGAACTGGCCTTAGCCTTGGCAAGTGTCCTTCTATGACAGGAGGCTGTCCTCGCCTCCTCTGGCCCCCTCTGATGTGCCTATTTTCTGCCACCTTTGGGCTGGACTCAGTAGTCCCCAAGCGCCCCAGCAGGACACACTCCATGTAGGGGCTGACTGCCAGGGCTTACGCCTGCCAGTGGCTACTTGGATGGTCCCACAAATGCCCTGGCTGAGCATGACGCAGATGCAGCATGGCTGCCAGGTGCAATCAGATAGGGACCTCACCTCCGAATGCATCAAGGATCTTTCAAGGACCCTCCTCACAATGATCAACCCTTCTTATACTGCAGTGGAAGCTCCTTGGTTAGACCATGGTCATTGTGAGGGTCACTGAACTCAGATGATTTGACCGAGAGAGGACACTGGTTAATCAGGTAGGTTCTGACAGGTGCAGGAGGCTTGATGCTCAGCCTCTGGGAACGCTCCACTTAGTGGGGGAATATGACATAGGAAAAACACAGTGAATACCCCAAACCATGTATATTTGTGTCACTAGGTGAAACAGAACATGTGGTTGCTCAGCACTGTGAGGCTTGAGTGGGAAGGCTGGCCGAAGGAGGGGGCCTTGAAACTGACACAGGAAGACGGGGAGGGCTTGGGTGGATGAATGGCTGGATGTGGGGAGAGAGCAGCCCTGGAAGAGGGTCTGAGCAAAGGCCTGAGGCAGGCCTGGGCTGGACTTGTACAGGGAACAGTGAGGAGGCTGTCTAACCCAGTCTCAGCTTTTTCTTCGCACGGCCTCTTCACTAGGGCAGAGAGGGGGAACGCAGCCCCGTGGGGGAGCTCCCAGCAGAGGAAGGGAGAACAGGCAGTGTGGGGCAAGGCCCAGTTTAGGGGTGACAGTGAGTCAGGATGTCAGAACAGCCTGTTGGTCCCTGTACCCAGGATTCCAGAACCCTGGGTGGCCTCATCCTTGGAGAAGGATCCTTGGCTGTATAAGTACACGGAAGCACAGCATCACCTTTATTGCCTCGGCTGCCCTTACAAAACTTGGGTCCCAGCTCGGGCAGGATGGAGACTGGCATGAGTGCCCAGCCAGAGGGCCAGAGGGCCTGCTCCCACCAGGAGCCCTGTCTTGGTAGTCCCATTCCCATCAGAAACTGTCCTGGACAGTCTGGCATTTTCCTCAGAGGGGTCTGGTCCAACTTGCTCTTTTATAGATAAGGAAATTAGGCCCAAGGAGAGGCAGGGCTTGTCTCACAGTTGTGGTGTGCAAAGACTCAGGTTTAGGTCTCAGCGCTGTACTCTGGGCAACCTCCTAGCCACTGGGGCCTTCCAAGTTCTTAGAACCCCTCTTGGGAAGACCCTGACCTAAACATCTGCCCCGGGGTGCAGGGGAGTCCCCTTGGCGCCACGTGCAGTGGTGTGTGTGGCACATAAGCCTAGCTGTTGGGTTTGCCCCTATCCCTGAGGCCTTCATTCCACTGTGGCAAAAGAAAACGAGGACAAATAAAAGAGAAATTCTGTCCTCTGAAGAGCATTAGGTGTTTGAATGGCTTCCAAATAAATAAAAGTGTCCTCGTAGCCCTGGCTGGCGCTG